AATTAAACTATACAGAGCAAGTGATCTTCTTTTGCACTGCATGTATGCTTCTGTTCTTGATCCGTAATCCAGTGGTGTGGTGAACCTACCCACGATAGCACAGTGTCATATTCTGCAATGTCTTAACTATGAACAATGTCATATCATTCTACTATTATTTAAACCGTCTCTTTATTTGCCAATCTGAAATGGGATAAATTGACAGCACACTAACCATTGATACTTATGAGTTCTTGATCTGTAATCCAGTGGTGTTGTGAAGCTTCCAACTCCTTCACAATGTCATTTCTTGCCATGTCTTAACCTGAACAATACCATATTGTGTTAATGGTATTTTAAGCTGTGTCACTTTATTTGTCAGTAAGAAATGTGATGAATTGTTAGCACTGATACTTATATGTGCAAAACCTGTCATCTATCTGCTTGTTTATCTTTCAGAGTGAGGAGGATATAAGTGTCAAACAAGCGCAGTCTCATCAGCTTGCTCAGCTGCTTGCGCTACAGCTCCCGAGCAGGGCTAACCTTTCTTGAACTCTATTGAAGTGATGTTGGTTTTGTATATTATTTTGTCGGCGTGTTTATCTGCACTGGTGGCGATCTTTGATGCCCAATGTATGTAATCTGCTGTCTGCTTGTGCTTTATTATCATAGTGGTGAACTGTGATGCCTAGTGGATGTAATATGTTGTAATTTATTTATTTTATACTCTAGATTTTTCTTATTCACGATTATGTAGTTATTTTACTGTATATATATATATCATGTCTACGCGGTAAACCGGCCAAACTGTAAAATTATGGTACATAATCGGGTCGTCATGCAAATCACTACATAATTGGTCCGTTAACAGGCCTAAATGTAAACTGACCCACTAGTAGATTTGGGCCTCTAATAGGCAGAGTAAACCGCCGGCCCTATATTCGCAAGAAAACTCAATGGACTTTTAGGAGGCTGAAAAGTAGGTTGGGCCTGAAACATGCCGAACAGCTCACGGGCCGGCAGCAGGCCGAAATAGACCCCGGCCCATGATTGTGCCAATCACATCACGAGCCTTTAACAGGCCAAAATTGTCTCGGTCCTTATTTTTCCCAATCAGGTTATCGGTTGTGAGCAGGCCGGATGCAAACCGGGCCATAGTTAGGCCCAACTATATGACGGGCTTTTAACATGCCGAAATGTCAAACAGGCCGAAACTAATATCAGGCTGAATTACTAAATGGTGCTTTAGCAAGTGGGCCCAAAAGCATAGCGTCCAGTTGACAGGACGATCTGATATGGGCCATAATTTAGCCCAAAGCCTCTTAAAAGGCCAGATCTGATCTGGGTCGTAATTTGACCCAGAACGTGGTAGGCTTTTAACGGGCCGGATCTCATATGAGCCTTTATTGGGCCTGGAACATGGCAGACTGTTAATGGACCGGATCAAATATGGGCCGACATTTGGCCCAAAACATGACAGCCTATTAATGGGCCGGCCCATTAGTGTCCTCAAAATCTAGTGGGCCCTTAGCTGGGCCGACCCATTATGGTCGGTGAAATCTCATGGGCCTTTAGCTGGGCCGGCCCATTATGGTCGGCGAAATCTCATGGGCCTTTAGTTGGGCCAGCCCATTTAATCTTTATGGGCCACTTTTGGGCCGGTCCATGTGTCAACATATCATAGGTGCATCTTGCCCATTGGATGAGTGACACCTGTGCCGACGCGGAGCTGATACGTGGTTCCGTCGGCCAATGAGAATTTTACACGTGGAAAATCATCATTGGTTGTGGCTGTTAGCGGGTTATCGATCCAAAATCGGACCTGATAACTTAACGGCGACCCGTTACGGTGGATGCCATGTGTCGGTCACCCTTGATGAAAGCACTTCCATAACGCGACATTTATCATCATGGAAGTGAACACTTCCGTGATGCTAATTTTGGTAATGTCATGGAAAACTTCTACGACAGCACATGTATGACTATCTTGATTCTGTCATAAAATCCTCATTGACGTACATGCATGACAGAAAACGTGACCTACTGTGGCAAACACGTATCATCACGGAAGTGTCTTCTTTTGTAGTGTCTAACCCTGGAGCCGCACCCTTCCAAGGTGGTCCTTCTCATTAAGGTGGATATTTCTCAACGAACCATTGCTTTCTCGAACAGGCCTCGGTGGCCACATAAACACGTGTTCATGCATATGTGAGTTTGCCACATTACATACCTTTTGGTTCCTTATTGATAAACTCTTGATGGCGTACTATCTCTACAAGATGTGGAGTATATATCTTGTCTAAAAGTAAGTTTTGCTTTACGTGAGGGGAAGAGAGAGGTTCACATGTATTCTTCAGTTACATGAGTCGATCTAGATTGAAAAGTTAAATGTGGCTTATGAAGGATGATAAATGGTGAGAGCACTAGGAAACTTTGGTTTTGCTAGGTTGGCATATGTGTGAGGAGAAACGCTTAGGGAGAAGTTTGCGGTGTAGTGAGGCAGAAAAAAGGGTGTGTGTGTGTGGAGTAACTTCTCTAACCCTACAGCCGCACCCTTCCGAGGTGGTCCTTCTCATTAAGGTGGATATTTATGAACGAACCATTGCTTTCTCGAACGGGCTTCGGTGGCCACGTATACACGTGTCCATGCTTATGCGAGTTTGCAACCTTACATACCTTTTGGTTCCTTATTGATAAACTCTTGATGGCGTACTATCTCTATAAGATGTGGAGTATATATATTGTCTAAAAGTAAGTTTTGCTTTACGTGAGGGGAAGAGAGAGGTTCACATGTATTCTTCAGTTACATGAGTCGGTCTAGATTGAAAAGGTAAATGTGTCTTATGAAGGAAGCTAAATGGTGAGAGCACTAGGAGACTTTTGGGTTTGCTAGGGTAGCATATGTGTGAGGAGACACGCTTAGGGAGAAGTTTGCGGTGTAGTGAGGCGGAAAAAAGGGTGTGTGTGTGTGTGTGTGTGTGTGTGTGTGTGTGTGTGTGTGTGGAGTAACTTCTCTAACCCTGTAGCCGCACCCTTCCAAGGTGGTCCTTCTCATTAAGGTGGATATTGCTCAATGAACCCTTGCTTTCTTGAACGGGCCTCGATGGCCGCATATACACGTGTCCATGCTTATGCGAGTTTGCCACCTTACATACCTTTTGGTTCCTTATTGATAAACTCTTGATGGCGTACTATCTCTACAAGATGTGGAGTATATATCTTGTCTAAAAGTAAGTTTTGCTTTACGTGAGGGGAAGAGAGAGGTTCACATGTATTCTTCAGTTACATGCGTCGATCTAGATTGAAAAGGTAAATGTGGCTTATGAAGGAAGCTAAATGGTGAGAGCACTAGGAGACTTTTGGGTTTGCTAGGGTGGCATATGTGTGAGGAGACACGCTTAGGGAGAAGTTTGCGATGTAGTGAGGCGGAAAAAAGGGTGTGTGTGTGTGGAGTAACTTCTCTAACCCTGTAGCCGCACCCTTCCAAGGTGGTCCTTCTCATTAAGGTGGATATTGCTCAATGAACCCTTGCTTTCCCGAACGGGCCTCGATGGCCGCATATACACGTGTCCATGCTTATGCGAGTTTGCCACCTTACATACCTTTTGGTTCCTTATTGATAAACTCTTGATGGCGTACTATCTCTACAAGATGTGGAGTATATATCTTGTCTAAAAGTAAGTTTTGCTTTACGTGAGGGGAAGAGAGAGGTTCACATGTATTCTTCAGTTACATGCGTCGATCTAGATCGAAAAGGTAAATGTGGCTTATGAAGGAAGCTAAATGAGGAGAGCACTAGGAGACTTTTGGGTTTGCTAGGGTGGCATATGTGTGAGGAGACACGCTTAGGGAGAAGTTTGCAGTGTAGAGAGAGAGAGAGAGAGAGAGAGAGAGAGAGAGAGAGAGAGAGAGAGGAGTAACTTAGTGGATCGGTTGCAAGAGTGCGTCTGCACGGTTAGAGAATACTAAGGTCCACTTTGATTCGCGAGACTAAAAATGTGAATATACAGATTATAAATAATGATTTGTCATGTCGTGTTTAATCCTATAAGAACTAACAATACAAGTGTAATTCCCCGCAAAAAAGAGAGAAAATAATAGATGGTTGCATCACAAAGAAAGGTATTTACTATTTTTTGCATATACACAAGGGAAATGAATTGTAGGCAATTGAACTTAATAAAACTTTCCTTCCATTCTGATGGAAAGTAGTCAATATATAGGAAAATAACATTGTTTCTAAATTTACCAACAAATTAAACAAGTTTATAGAGACAAGTCATAAGAAACATCATCCTCAAACCCTAAAAGAAGGAACATCATCCTCAATATATTTTACAAAAGTAGAGAGGCCCTAGATCAACAAGATATTTATTTCTGTGCGTTGAAAATTTTAAGGTTCTTGCTCAATCTTGACAAGTAGTATAATTTTATGGAAGGGAGAACTCTCTTGAGTGAAGAGAGCTTTATACATTTATACCCAATCAATTGGCAATTAAGTGCTTCCATGTAATAGGGAAATTACTAACCATATGAGCTGTGACACCAGTCAAAAAAAAATCATCAACACTCCACTCTCTTCCCTGGTCAATATGAACTATTTATACCGAGGGAGAACTCTCTTTGAACTATGTGATCAATAAACGTTCAACTTAGTTACGGCTTCGTTCTGATGCATCGGTTCATAAGATAGCAACTAGTTGCACTTTCACACTGTGTGTAAAAAAAACTTGTTACACTTGATCACTGCGTTGGCGGCACGGTACGGGCGTGTATAGCAATATGCGGTGCCACATTCGGCTCAAAAAAAAAGAGAAAGAAACGCAATGCGGTGCCACGCGACGGCCGTCACGCCCAAAACGTGTGCGCGGGCGGGGCACACAGAGAATCAAGCGCGCCCCCCGGGCCATCCTCGCTCCAAATCTTTATAAGGCGCCCGGGGCTGCCTCGGCGAGATCATCAGAAAACGCGAGCCAAAAGCCATCGCAAACCCAGGAAGAAACGGTAAGCTGTTGCGCGGCATGGCTTTCTACCGCGGCAGCGGCATGGGCATGGGTATGGGTATGGGCATGGGCATGGGTGGCGGGTCTTCGTCGTCGTGGGCGCCGGCGGCGATGCCGCCGCCGCCGCCGCCGCCCAGCAGGCCGTGGACCAAGGCGGAGGACAAGGTGTTCGAGGGCGCGCTGGTGGCGATCCCGGAGCACGTGCCGAACCGGTGGGCGTTCGTGGCGGCGCAGCTGCCGGGGCGCACGCCGCAGGAGGCCTGGGAGCACTACCAGGCGCTGGTGGCCGACATCGACCTCATCGAGCGCGGCCTGGTCGAGCCCCCCGAGTCGTGGGACGACGACGACGACGGCGCCGCCGGCGGCGGCGGCACCGTCGCGGCGGGGCGCGGCCGCCCCCGCGGCTCCGGCGGCGAGGAGCGCCGCAAGGGCATACCCTGGACCGAGGAGGAGCACAGGTATACACACCCCTCCGCCGTCAAAATCTCCAACTGCCTTCCTTCCCTGGACCCTGTTCGTTTTCTTGTCCCTTTCCCCTGTTATTAGTCGGCGCGTTCTTCGAGGTCCTAGATACTTCCCCGGATCTTGCCACGTCGGATGATTCCGCTGGCCCCACCATGCCACACGTAAATTTTTACCATTTTTGCTATGCGATCTATACTGGCGCTGACCTTTTTCTCCGTTGGGTCTCGGCAATAGGATGTTCCTGGAGGGGCTGGAGAAGTACGGGCGCGGGGATTGGAGGAACATCTCGCGGTGGTCGGTGAAGACGCGGACGCCGACGCAGGTGGCCAGCCATGCGCAGAAGTACTTCATCCGCCAGGCCAACGCCGCCACCCGCGGCGACAGCAAGCGCAAGAGCATCCACGACATCACCAACCCGTGATGCGTCATCCGTCGTGGACAAGGCACCAAGAATCCGGTCCGGCCCGAGCCTAGCCGATACCCGCCGCCCGTCGTCGTCGTCGCCGCCGCCGCCGTCTGCTCTCCCTCGGCCGTCCGCCCGTGCAAATGTATGTAGGGGAAAGGCGTGGCTCGGCTGGAACCTGCGATTCGGAACCAGTAATCTGTAGTAAACTAGCTGTGTGGTCGAATAAATCCTGTCTGTCCTCACCTCTGTCGTGTGTGTGTGGGTGACATGTCAAGGAAGAAACAGAGTCAGTCAGTCAGTCAGTTCGGAAAGGGTTATAGCAATCCACCGCATGGTTTTTTTTACCGCTTTCCTGTTTTACACCCGCATGGCATTTCACATCCCGTTCTCATCCTGTGTCGACCAAATGTTGTTCAATGCTGGAGCACATCTGTCCCGGTGACCTGACAAGCGTCCTTTATCGGCTCCGTTTGTCAGGTTGTTCGTGTCCTGTCGAGTCACCCGTGCGGTGTCTCAGGAGATGTGTACGCCGCGCAGACCAGCATGTGTTGAAAGCGGCCTGACGGCGGCGATGCAGATCATGGTGCCTGCCTGGGCTCGCCTGGCTATACTATACAGGCTTAAACGGCACGTGGTGAATTGCGAGCTGCAAAAACAATTACTCACCTCTTAGGTAGTCGGGTGCACTATCGTCAGTGTCCAGGTTCGAATCATCTAGTGCATTTGGGGCTGTCACTTGTCACCTAATTAGGCAACTGTGCAGGCTTACGTAATTGCTCTTTCTGGCAAGTTCCGTGATGGAAACCAGGTATTTTTTTATTTATTTTTGCGAAATGGAAACCAGGTATATGGCCATCAACAACTAAGAGTCTCGTCTACTTCACTGTACGTGCTTTTGCCAAGTTTGTTTTCTGGGTGTAGATCTAGATTATAGATACTATGTGTCTTATCCGTGTCACTAGTACTCCTATACAGGAAGCGATGATTGCCACTCCAAAGCCTCAGCCAAATGTCACGGCAGGTAGGTATAGGAATTAAGGATACATGTGAAACGAGCGCAATGTATTGTTTTTGCAAGGATAAAAAAGTTTTATTCCAAAATGACAGAGTTACAATCTAGTGGGTAGAGATCCTCGATACAGGAGGGCCTCTATGTAGACAAACAGAAGTGCTACAATCAGTATGGATATATCTCGCCAATTGATTTGTTACTCTATTTTGATTGCTATGAAGTTTTTGTGAAATAAACTCCCACTCCGACAGTAAGGCCTTAATCTCCATACTGATGTGTCCATAGGCTGAACGGTTAAGGGGATGGCCTCAAATAGGAGATAATGCTTGAGAAGAATCTGTGCAATATGATGAGAATACGATAAGACCGAGACACTCCATGGTTGCTCTGTTGATTGAAATCGTCGATGATAACTATGAGGGTGCACATCGAGGTTTCAATGCAATACCTAACGGGTGATGCATATAGTTAACAATTTTCTGCAATGATGGTTAATTTTCTCTTTTTTTTGTTCCACTCATTTTTGTCTCCGTGCCTTTCCCAATGTATTATGTTCAATTTTGCATACCATTTTTGAGAGAACAAAGTAGAGGAAATGAGGGGCACACGAAAGAGAAAGGCGGATAAATGTTACTCCCTCTGATCCAAAATAAGTGTTGCAATTTTGAACTAGAGTTAATTCAAAACTGCGATACTTATTATGGATCGGAGGTAGTAACAGTTAACTTGTGTTTGCTAGATGCAAAGACAATTCAAGTAACCTTTTTCAGAGAAGGCCTTCATGGCATGCTTTATTCAATAATAATAATAATTACATCGTTTATGAGATAACTCAAAAGAAAATCAATGGGCTCATCTTACCAAGTACATCAAGTTTTATCCAAAAAGCAAACGCTAGCCAACTCATGAGAAACTTCATTAGCATTTCTATGACAGTGATTGCAAATTACCTCCCCAATTTCCTATGCAAGCTCTCTATATACAATCTGTGTAAATGGGGAACAATGCCCGACCATTTACTTTGTTTGCCACAATACTTCCAAAGGATTAGATTCTGCCATCACATTACGGAATCCCGGCGAATTAGCAAGTTATAGTTCAGTTCTCATTGCCATAGCTTCTCTCACTCATGCAGTTTCAAGATGTGGAATGAAATCGAAGAAGGCTGCAAGAAAATTTCCCTTTACATCTCTAATGATTGATGCAATGGAACCTTCTCCCGAATATGAACAAAGGGAGAATGCTCCTTTTGCGGGCGAGCGTTGAAACGCTCGATCCATAAATCTCTCCCTCCGTTAATTCTATTAATTAGTGGGGCCAGTCTGTCCTTCCATAAATCTCTGTTGCAATAAATTAAACAGGTGGGTGCCAACATTGCCTTCCATAAATCTCGCTGCCCCCTGATTTCAGCAGGGGTGGGGGCAGGTGTGTCCTTTAATCTTTCTCTCACATGGATTCACTTGAAAGAAAACTTGAGTTCCCGTCAGGAAATAAAGGAATGTTGAGTTACGTAAGTTTCAGTCAGAAATCGAGCGCTGTAACGATTGCACGTGAATTAGCATCCCCTGAACAAAGAGACGCATCAACGTTTGCTTTAACATCATCAGATGTTGGCTTGCACCATAACAGCATCTCACGTACTCAAAACAAGAATATAAGGCTAGAAAAATAACATTGGTTAGAAAATAAGAACTAAATAAAAGTAACTAGCATACCAAGACATGAAAAGAAACAATGCACATAGGCTAGTATACCAACCAAATAATCTTATGATTATAATAGGGAGGTGCATGCATGGATATTTGTATGTATACGTGTCTGATGCTTGTTGTCAGCAACTTACATTCACATGGTAAATCATAAAAGATGGCACACGAGAAGTAGTATGATGGTAGCACAAAACACGCCTACTCGGTTATTTTGCTAAGATAGTTTGGTGCCCAACGTTAGCATGTTGCCTTTTACATGACACATGCTCAATTCTACAGCATAAAATTTGATAAATTGTCTCATGACTGATAATAGCACAAAGTGCACTCAGTCGGTTGTTTTTTTCTTAAACATGTTAGGTGCTTGTTAGTTCTCACTCCCAATATATTCACATTTACAATATTGGAGGTCAATTGTTATGGTAGAATCCAATACTAATGTCAAATTGTCACTATCTTGTAGGTTAAAACAACAACGAGGTTGCTATAATGATTGGTTCATTGATGTTCTTGCTTTGAGGGTGCCTATTAGGCTTCCACCATTACTGCAACAGTGGTGGAGCGAATCCATTAATTTGATATAGAGAAGCATTTAGTTGCAATTGCTTTGTTGAGTGTTTCCCATCCAAACTAGTCCTTCAACTCTTATTTCTTAGTAGTTTCCATATGGAGTTCATCAGCTCTACCTAGGCTCGTCGGGTTGTGGCTCCGCCTCTAGAGTGTAATACTCAAGGAATACTGTATCTAGTTCACATTTTCTACAATCAAGTCATTTCTCTGTAGTTTGTTCTTGCATTTTGCTTCATATCCTTTTGTTTGTGCGTTTTTGTTCACACCTTCTACTAAATGATACATAACAAAGAAAAGAAGGGGAAAGAGAGGGAAGATTAACTGGGTGGAGAAGGTGTTCCAATTTTAAAAGTGAAGAAGATGGTAACAAAATGTTAAGTAGCTATTTAACATGTGCTTTGAATTAGTTGAACAACATTTGTCATACTTTGGCCAGAAGAGGGCTAGTAAAACAAAAAAGGGCCGCCCGGTGCATGTAGCTCCCGCTTGCGCAGGGTACGGGGAAGGGTCCTACCACTTTGGGTCTATAGTACGCAGCCTTTCCCTACATTTCTGTAAGAGGCTGTTTCCAGAAGAGGGCTAGTAAAACAAACTCAGTAAGAAATTTTCTACCACTCCTCTCTCGTATATGCTGACGCAAATTTTTCTACTACACAATACTCTCGTGTGAACGCTACACCATGGGATCTGACAAATAGTATGACGATAATAGCACATATCTCACCTACATGGATGTTTGTTTCTTGTACATGTGTGGTTCTCATCATCATCACTTACCTTCATAGGGTCAATCATGCACTATGAGATCCGACAAATAGTATGATGGCAATACTACAAATCTCGCCCACTCGGTTGTCTGTCTCACAAACTAGTTCGGTGATCATTGTCAACATCTTGCCACTCACATGGAATACTTCTCTTTTTGAACCCCACAACATTAAGCCCAACAAATAATGTGGTAAAAATAGTCCAAAATACACCTACCTACATTTTGGTTTCTTATAAAAGTTTGGTGCTTATTGGTGGCAACTTATCTTGCACATGTTCAATCACACACTCAAAAAGCCCACAAGTGGTGTGACACTATATAGTAGGACTCACTTGATTGCTTGTTTCTTAAACTCATTCTGTGATCATTGTAATAAGTTTGCCTTTCCGTTTCATGTCGACATCATATGTGTAAGAGAGTTACCAAGTAAATTGATGATAATAGAACAAATTGTGTGTACTTGGATGCTTGTTTCTCATGTTGGTTCAAAGCTCATTTCTAGTTACCTGCATTTCACATTCTCATGAATAGTCTTGGGATAATTTCCTAGAGTGTGCATCCACTTGGATGTTTGTTTCGCATACGAGTTTGGTGCTCATGAGAATTTTTTTTGTAACACAACATATTAATGACATTTTTGTATGTTCACAAGGTGTTCACCATACATGTCTAAACGCAACAATGCATATGTGCTAAGTATGTACTACCTCCATCCAGGTATATAAGTTCGGTGAGCCAAGAAGCTGCGTACGTTTTTTCAAGGCCGCTAGCTGTAGGCAGTTGCTTTTCCTTGACCCGGCCACTTGATTTGCGCTTGATTGGCTGGTGACGCGCGTGGGTAGCTGCATGCAGAAACCGAAGAGGCAAGTGGGTTGCCTACTGTAAATGTTGGCGGTTGCTGGATTGGATGCATGCAAAGTGAACGAGGTAGCTAGCTACATGCAAAGTTGCTCGT